AATAGAGTTGTTTACAGTTCTCTCCCACTTCAGCTATACCACACTTATCACAACCCCTACATGCCATACTGGGAGAGGTGATTCCCAGGAGAGATGGGAGGAAATAGCTTACAAAAGTGTCCTTCTACTGGCTTACCCCAATTTAGTTTAGGTGTCTATACGAATATATCTCTAGGGTCATTTATATCCTGAGATGAGCAGCATTGGGCAGTCAGCATTTTTAAGATCTCATGTGGCAAAACCACTGCTTTTGGTACCAGGGACTCTTCCCAGAGATTCTGTGACCTCCATAGCATCTGGCATCAGCATAAATCTCAAGATTTCATATATTGGTTTTGGCAAAAGCATAGTACATCAAATCAAGGGCTCCTTTATACTCATGACAGCCATTGATGATTGATCATGACATTCTTTTCCTCGTAAAAAAAATGTGGCCTCATAATATTTCAATACAGTGGACTTGGTAACTTTACTAATTGGCAAGCTAAGCACACAAGATGAAACTTTCACGTATTCTGAGCATAGATTCTCTATAACCCTCCTATATTGTAGGCTATATGAAGGTTGCAGTTTGTGCCTATCTTATTCAGCTATGCAATTTTCAATGACTGTATTGTTGAAATATAAACAAATATAAATTGAATGGACTTTCCCAACTGGCTGTTTGAGGAACTGGGAAAATCCTCTCTCTCTCTCTCAAAAAAAAAAGTAGCAAAAAGCTGGTCAAAATGATCAAATAAAAGCATTCCAACTTTGAAATTTTATCAATGGGCATAATACAACTTGAGAAGCATTTGTTCAAGATAATCTACAGATTCTTTATAAGAACAGTTGGCATCTATGGCATTTAATCTGGAGACTGTTCCCATCCTTACCTCCTCAGCTGCAGCTCTGAGGTGCAAACATGCCATTCTTGATAGGCAGGGCAGAACCCAAAGACTGACAACTCCCATCCTTCCCAGGCCCATGTTGCAAAAGTTCTATTGTGGGCAGGTAGGAAAGGCTGTGAGATCCCACATCTTCCATCATCCAGGCACTATATTTTGAAGTTCTAAACAAGGTCATGGCAGGACAAAAGTACTGCCAATACTGCAGCGCTGCCTGAGAGGGCTAATTTTACATGGTGAAAAACATGGAATATTCCAGTTACAATAAATCAGTGAATGCTAAAATATCTATAATACTAATTGTGCCTAAACAAACATCAGAGTAGCCAGAAATGTAACAGAGACCAGGGAAACAGACAGACAGACAGCAAAAGAGGGCCCATGACTTATGGTCAGGAAGGCTGTATGCATGGGAAAACCTTAACTTGCTAAGGAAACATCTCAGGAGAAATACTCAAGAGAGGCCATTAATCCCTGACTAAAATGTGGGGTAGATCTTTAAATTCCACAAACTTTGAAAGCATTTCCAAAATCATACCTAGATCCATAACAAAACGTAGAGGATTTACTGCCTCAGGGAATTTAAGAACAATCTCTTACCATTTATTGGTTTATCACTAAATTTTCTTGACCTAGGAGTACCTTATAGAAAGCCAGCCTTAATGCCAATATTTCACAATTTTTTTAGAAAAAAAAGGAGGGAACGTTTTCAAATTTAATCTATGAGATCAGTAATAAGGCAACTTTATTTCTATATTTGTTTGTTTATTCACTCATTAATTTATTTTGTGAGGCCAGTAACTGTGATACCAAAGCCAGATAAAGGCATCAGAAGAACACAGACAACAGTTTAGTGATTACCAGAGGGTAAGGAGGAGGGAGGGTGGTAGAAGAGAGTAAAGGGGGCAAAAAGGAAAGAAAAGAGGCCCATAGATAATAAAACAATAGTGATATATCACAAAATAGTAAAAAAAAAATTTTAATAAAAAAAAGACATCACAAGAAAAGAAAGCTATAAATCAATATCCCTCATGAAATTAACAAATACTCAAAAAATATTAGCAGACCTAATTCAGCAGGATAGGAAACATTATACACCATTAACAAGTGATGTTTATTTTAGGAATGTGATGTTTTAACATCCAAACATCATTTAATGTAATACAATATATTAATAGAATAAAGGGCATAAAATACATTATCAGCACAATAGGTGCAAAAGAAAGCATTGGACACACTCAACATCCACTCAGGGTAAAAACTCTCAACAAGCTAGGGACAGAAGGAACTTCCTCAAGATAGGGAATCTATACAAATCCCACAGCTAACTTCATATTTATTAGTGAAATATTTTTCCCCCTAAGATCTGAAACAAGACAACGATTTGTACTTTTACCATGTGTATTCAACATTGTACTGGAGGTTCTAGTAAGTGCATTTAACCAAGGAAAAAGAAATAAAAGGCATCCAGATTTTTAAAGAGCAAGTAAAATTGTCTTTATTCACAAAATACATGATTAGTATTTACAAAATCCTAAGGAAATTTAGGATCCTAAAACTGATAAATAATTCAGCAAGGTCATAGGACACAAGGTCAATATATACAAATCAATTGTATTTTTGTATACTAGCAAAGAAGAAATTAAGAAACAGTGTCATTCACAATAACATCAAAATGGTAACATAATTAAGAATAAATTTAACAAAAGTAGTATAAGACTCATAAAATGAAAATATTACTGAAATAAATTAATGAAGTCCTAGAAAAATGGAAATACACCTCATGAACATGGATGGGAGAAGTTAATATCATTAAAATGGCACAACTCCCAAAATTTGTCTACAGGGTCAATACAATCCTTATCAAAATTCCACCTGTTTTGTTGTTGTTTGCAAAGTTGACTAGCTGATCCTAAAGTTCATATGGAAATCCAAAGGACCAGGATTTGCCAAAACAATCTTGAAAATGAAGAAAAAAGTTGGAGTACATACACTTCTCAATTAGCAAAGCTACAGTAATCAATCATTGTGGTAATGGTATGAGGAGAATATATATATATTCAGTGGAATACTATTCATAGCACATAATAAAGTCCCTACATTTTGGTTTAATTGATTTCTCACAAAGGTTCAAAGACAATTTCATGGGGAAATAACCGGCTTTTCAATAAATGGTGCTGTGATAACTGGATGTCTACATGCAAAAGAATGAAATCAGACCCATATCGCATACCATATACAAAAATTAAAAGTGGATCACAAACCTAAATGTAAAAGCTAAAACTATAATAAATTTAGAAGAAAATATAAGAGTAAATCTTTGCGACCCTGGGTTTGGCAAGGATTTCTTGGATTCAGCATCAGCAGTATAGGCAGTACAAGAAAACAATGTTAAATTGAACTTCCTCAAAATTAAACACTTTTCTCTTCAAAAGATACCTTCAAGAAAATAAAAAAGAGCACAGTCTGGGAGAAATTATTTGCAAATTATGTATCCACTAAGTGATTTATAGTCCAAGTACCTGAAGAACTCTTGCAACTCAATATTAAGACTAAACCTCAATTTAAAAATGGACAATGGATTTCAATAAACATATTTCCAAAGAAGACATTCAAATGACCTATAAGTGCATGAAAACATGCTCAACATCATTAGCTATTAAGGAAACGCATATTTAAAACCATAGTGAGATATCTGCACACCCACTAGAAGAGCTATAATAAAAGAAATGTTATATATAGTCATGGGATGTGGAGTATAGTGTGGAAGTGGAGTCAAGGGAATTGTAATAGATATGTATGATATGGGGGGAGTGGGGCGGCGGATTGGGAGAGGGGGATTGTCACTTCGAGGGGTAAAAAGTATAACTATTGCACTGTGTTGTACAGCTGAAACTAATTTTTTAAAATGTGTATTTCACAATAAAGAAATAATAAAAATGTTAACAAACATGTGGAGAAATTAGAACCCTCATGCATTGCTGGTGAGAATGTTGCAAACGTGTTGCAGCCTTTTTGGGAAATGGTTGGGCATTTGCATTGAAAGGTTAAATGTTAATTTACCATATGACCCAGCAACTTCACTCCTAGATATAGAATCAATAAAAACAAAAATATGTTCATACAAAGACTTGTGCACGAATGCTTACTACAGCATAATTAATAATAGACAAAAGGTGTTAACCCAGCTGTTCATTAACTGGTGAATATATAATCCAAATTTTGTATATCCATTCAGTAGATACACTCTTAGGCAATAAAAAGAACAACTAGGATAAACCTTGGAAACAATATGCTAAGAAGAAGATGGCCTGAAACAAAAAAAGACTACCTATCATAGCATTCCATTTATAAGAAATGTTCAGAATAGTCAATCCACAGAGATAATAAATAGATTAGTGGTTTCTAGGGGATTGAGAAATACAGGAATGGAGAATAACTGCAAGTTTTTATGGACTTTTCTTTTTGGATGATGAAAATGTTCTAAACATAAATTGTGGGGATGGTTGCACAATTCTGTAAATTTGCTATCATTAATTCATACATTTAAAACAGGAAATCTTATTTTGTATAAATTATACTGCAGTGAAGTTTTATAAAGCATGAATAAGGTAAAGAATTACAATTTACAAATCTAGACCAGCACAATATTAGATTACTGATGTTCATAAGTAAAAAGAAAATCAATAATGCAAGAACATATTACCCCGTATTAACATTTACTCTAATTTTTCTGAAAATGCTGCAGAGGACAAGTTAGAAGTAGCATACTGGAAAACAGCTCTAGCTCTCACTCACACTTTCTGCATTGAGATCCGGATTTCAGCTTTTACTAGCCCAGTAATTGTGGATATGTTACCTAACTTCTGTTCTTCAGTTCTTTCATCTGTATAAGAGGAAAAATGAATAGTTTCTGTCTCATGGGTTTGTTGCAATAATTTAAATATTTAGTACAAATCAAGTCCCTAGATGAGTCCTCAGCCAATAGTAAACTGTAGCTATATGCTTGTAACTATTATTATTATTATCATTATTGTACAAATGAGGGGAGAAAATAAGTTTTCAGGAACAGGTCTTTATTTCTCACATTTTTTGTTTGTTTGTTTCATTCAGGTATCTTCAATGCCCTGGGTTTGCCTGTAACCCAGTGCCCACTGGGTCTGAATGACAAAGGACTTCCTCTAGGTATTCAGGTTGTTGCTGGACCCTTCAATGATCACCTGACCCTGGCTGTGGCCCAGTACTTGGAGAAAAGTTTTGGGGGTTGGGTCTGTCCTGGAAAGTTTTAGTAAGACCTTCTCAAGGTGTATGTGTATGTGTGTGTGTGTGTGTCTTTCTGTAGGTTGGGTGAGATCAAGCACCAGCAGGCAAGTAGAGTAAAAACAACCGCAGAATTGTTAACTTGTTCAGTTATGGTTTCCAGTCTTCTTTCCTTTACTAACTGATCACTTTAATAAAATGGTAATATTTAATTCCTCCCATCAGTGTACTGAAGAAGACGGTCATGTAAATGAATTAAGTGCAATAAAGTTTTCTGTATGCTGTGATGTGTCTGTTTTAAGTACAACACGGAGATCAGAGAAGGGAATATTCAGTTTTAATTAGGGGATCATAAGCAACTTCACAGAGAAGGTGATGCTTAAAGTGAGAATTGAAAGACAGTTATGTGTTTGCCAGGTTGCCAGGCAGGCCATGAAGTAAGGGAATTCCACTTAGAAGGAGCTGTAGTGACAAAGGCAAGGCATGAAAACTACATGGTGGGTTCATAGAAGTGTACGTATGAACAGTGAGGAGCTGGAAAGGAGTATGCAAATGGATGAGACTGCAACAAGAAAAACTCCAATATCATCAGAAAAATTATATTTCATAGTTCTGACTACTAATAGGGTCTAGAAGCAATGCCACCTTAGTACAAATAATCACAAATAACACCTAGACCTTCCTTTCTAAATACCTTTTTCCAATAAAAATGACGAGGGCTTCTTGGATGAAAAGTTAATTCCAGGACTGAGAAAGAGAAACTGTAAGATGAGCCTGGAACAGGTTTTTGTGCCAGGAAGTTAGGAACTGAAGGAGAATATATCAGAAGGACACAGGAACGTTTTAAAGATGTTCTCACTGACCAAACAGGGCAATTGGAATAGCAAAACAAATGACAGTGATGCGTTACAACTAAAATGCGAGTGAAGGTAAGGAAAAGCAGATATAGATGTACAGATATGGCAATAGATATAGGGAATGTATATTTTAATGGTTGCAAAATTATGACTTTCTAATGTTTGGGGTTTTTTTTTTGTATATATATATATATATATATATATATATATATATATATAAAACAATAAACAATACATCAAACAATAGTTATAGATAGTTATATATGTTTATAATATATTTTATAAATATATACAAAGTTAAAATATATAAAAACAAAGAAAATATATGACAATATGTAAAAATATTATATATAACAATAAAATAATGTAGGGTTGGAAATACATGACAATTTAGAAAGTCATCATCTTGCATCTATCAAAATAACACTGAATTCAGACATGACTCATCAATGGATGCTAAAATCATTCGTTAAAAGTTGGAGAACAGTTGTTGGGGAACTAAAAAGTTGTTTCAGTCTTGAAATATCTCTCAACCTATTACTTATTAATTATTAAGAGTGGGGTGAGGTAAATCTGTCATTATATGCAGATGACATGATACTATATAGAGAAAACCCCAAAGATTCCACCAGAAAACTATTAGAACCGATAAATGAATTTAGTAAAGTAGCAGGATACAAAATGAATATTCAGAAATCAGTTGCATTTGTATACACCAATAATAAACTATCAGAAGAAGAAATCAAGGAATCAATCCCATTTACAATTGCTTCAAAAACAATAAAATACCTAGGAATAAATTTAACCAAAGAAATAAAAGACCTGTACTCAAGCCACAGCAATCATGAGAAATAAGAACAAAGTTGGAGGTATCACGCTACCCGACATCAAATCATACTACAAGGCTATAGTAATCAAAACAGCATGGCACTGGCATAAAAACAGACACAGATCAATGGGACAGATTATAGAGCCCAGAAATAAATCCATTCATATATGGTCATTTGATCTATGACAATGGAAGCAAGAATTTACATTGGGGTAAAGATAGTCTATTTAATAAATGGTGCTGGGGAAACTGGACTGACACATGCAAAAAAATGAAACTGAACCACCTCCTTATGCCATATATGAGAATAAATTCAAAATGGATTAAAGACTTAAATATAAGACCTGAGACCATAAAACTCCTAGAAGAAAATATAGGGAGTTAATTTGCAGACATTACCCTGAGTAATATTTTTAAAAGAAAAAATAAACATTTGGGATTACATCAAACTTAAAAGTTTTTTCACAGCAAAGGAAACCATCAACAAAACAAAAAGGCAGCCTACTAAATGAAAGAAGATATTTGCCAATGTTGTATCTGATAAGGGGTTAATATCCAAAATTTATAAAACAGTCATTCAAATCAACACCAAAAAAAACAACTCAATGAAAAAAATGGGCAGAGGATATGAAGAGACATTTCTCTAAAGAGGACATACAGATGGACAACAGACATATAAAAAAGTGCTCAACGTCACTAATCATTAGAGAAATGCAAATGAAAACCACAATGAGATACCACCTCACTCCTGTCAGAATGTCAATCATCAATAAACCAACAAACAACAAGTGCTGGCGAGGTTGTGGAGAAAAGGGAACCCTGGTGCACTGTTGGTGGGATTGCAGATTGGTGCAGCCATTATGGAAATCAGTATTGGAGGTATCTCAAAAAACAGGAAATGGAACTACCTTATGACCCAGCAATTCCACTCTTAGGTATCTATCCAGAGAAACCCCAGACGCTAATTCAAAAAAATGTATGCACCCCTATGTTTATTGCAGCACTATTTGCAATAGCCAAGGCTTGGAAACAACCAAAATGCCCATCGGTAGATGACTGGATTAAGAAACTGTGGTAAATTTATACAAAGGAGTATTACTCTGCTATAAAGAAGAATAAAACCGTACCATTTGCAATGATATGGATGGACCTAGAGAACGTTATGCTAAGTGAAATAAATCAGTTGGAGAAAGACAAATGCTATATGATCTCACTTATATGTGGAATCTAAAGAACTGAATACATGAGCAAAGTAAACAGAAATAGTCCCAGAGATATAAAGGAAAAACTGATGGTTGCTAGATGAAAGGGGGGTCGGGATGAGGGAGAAGGGGAAGGGATTAGACAGCATAAATTGGTAACTACAATACTGCCACAGGATATGAAAGACAGTTTGCAGAATATAATTAATAGTGCTGTGAATATTTTGTAGGGTGTCAGATTGGCACGAGTTGTTAAAGAGACCACTTCAGGGACGGTGTAGATGCTTGACCACTGCACTGTACACCTGAAGCTGAATAATATTGAATGTCAACTATAATTATATATATATATATGTATATATATATTATATATATGTATATATTATATATATGTGTGTGTTTATAAATATATATATAATATAATTAATTATATAATATATATATAGTCACAAGATATGGAGTATAGCATAGGGAATAGAGTCAATGGAATTGTAATAGATATATACGATGTCAGAGGGGCAATAGATTGGGGGAGGGGGTTATCACTTTCTGAGGGGTAAAATGTATAACTGTTACATTGTTTTGTACACCTGAAACTAATAATAATATAAAAGAGTGGGGGATATTGAATTTATGTGGCGATATATGGTAGACATCTCCATCAAATGATCAAAATTAACATGAACAATAATAAGAAATTAATATCACATGTCTTCCGGTGAAATGCACCAAGAAGGATATATCATTACTCCTGTGATGTAACTTCTAAAAAATGCATCACTTGGATCTAATCATAAGAAAGCATCAGCCAAAACCAAATTTATGGACATTTTTATTTTATAAAATAAAGGGCCCAAAGACTGAGAAATTTTTCCAGATTAAAGGTGACTAAAAAATGCAACTCAATGCAATGTGTGGTCTTGGATTGGAAAAATAAAGTTGCTGCAAAGAACAGCATTAAGACACTTGGCAAAATATGAATATGGTCTTTATGCATGTATCAGATAATGTATCATTGTGAAAATTTCTGAATTTTATAATTGCACTATAATTATGTAACAGAATGTCACTATTCTTAAGAGAGGAGCTTAGAGCCAATGCAGGTGAGGGGGTTGCTGCATGGGTGTGACACTGTAGCAGATTCAAAGCAGTTGCAAAATTGCCAAAATTCAAGGAAAGGCAAAACAGATCCTACCTCTTGATTGAAAGAGTTTCAAAGAAATGTAGGTGTATGTTAAGGAGGAAGGAGGGGTGGTAGATGAGGGTAAAGGGGATCAAATGTATGATGATGGAAGGATAACTGACTCTGGGTGGTGAGCACACAATGTAATATATAGATCACATATTACAGAACTGTACACCTGAAACATATATAATTTTACTAACTAATGTCAACCCAATTCATTTAATAACAATTTTTTAAAAAATAAAATGAGAAAAAAGGCATTTGCTAAAAGTAAATCCTAAAAGTTCGCATCACAAGGGAAAAAACTGAATGAGATGATTAAAGTTAACTAAACTTACTGTAATGTTCATATATATATATATATATATATATATATATATATATAGTCACTCTGTATACCTTAAACTTATTCAGTGTTTATGTCAATTATATCTTAATATAACTGGAAGACAAAGAAAACACTTTCCTCTTCCTTACTAGCTTCTAAATTCTTCACATCTGCTGAACTTAAGACACTCGATCAAGAGACAATTTCCAAAGAGATATTTATTGCTGGAAGTCTCTTTGTATTTTCTTGGCACCTCTCAGAAGGTGGACCCTAGAAGTGAATGCTCTTCCCATGGTGCAGGGCTCAGAGGAAAGACGTTCATGCCCCATTTCCCAGGATATCGACTGTTTTGGAGGGGCTGGTCACTCTGAGGATTTGACCCGCTTAAAAGGTATGGGGAAATTCATCTTCCTTGCACTTAAAACTAATATTTGAATTTGTCTTCACTGTAAAGGGCCTCATAAGCTGATCCCTACAACTTCTTTTCTTTTGTTTTATTTTATTGGGGAACAGCCATGGTCATTGTTTACACATTGCTTTCATGCTACAATGGCATAGTTAACTCTTTAAGGGAGGGCGCAGCTCACAGTGGCCCATGCGGGGATCGAACCGGCAACCTTAGTGTTATCAGCACCATGCTCTAACCAACTGAGCTAACCAGTCATCCCCAATCCCTACAACTTTTTGATTCAGGCAATAAGTCATGACAGTAGACCCCAGGCCTGATGGTTTCAGCATATCTCTTCTGAGGTCTTATCCAAAGCATCCTAGGACTTTACCTTGATGTGATCCTCCTGTGGGTTGCCTGAATTTTCCATCTGGAAGGAGGATGTCTGTGTCATCAGGAATGACATCCTCAGCTCAGCAACTATAACATAAGTG